GTGTGTGTGTGTGTGTGTGTGTGTGTGTGTGTGTGCTCTATTAATACAGTCATCATAGAGCATTCTAACATTTACAGTGCAACACTTCTGTTATCTGATCTCACAGTGTAACGCAGACTGAAGAGCAACAACAAAAACAGTAAGCAGTCAATAGAGCGACACTGACGCCCAACAGTCTCTTTTTAAAAAAAAAATCAAGATCCAGGAATTATTCCACATCACAGAAAGCTTATAGAAAGTTAAAGTTAAATCAAATTCCTGGACCCACATAGATTCTTGCCCCATGTCTCATCCTTCCACCAAGTTTCCTGGAAATCTGCTCAGAAGCATTTGTGTAATCCTGCCGACAAACAAACCAACCATCTAAAACAGACATAACCTGAGTGGATGTAGCCTGATGAGCCGTTAATTCTGCTCGACGTCACCACAGCCTTAACAAACCTTCACTGCCTGACATGAAACTACTCCAAACACTGCCACACACACACTGCCACACACACACACACACACACACACACACAAAGAGTGCTTTGTGTGTACAGAACCAGTACCAACCCAGACCCACCAAGCACTCACTGACACACACACACTGACACACACTCACCGTGATTCCTCCAGCAGGTCACGGAGTTCACTTTCAAATGCCAAGTTTGAAAGGTTTCATATGGAACATTCAGAAAACCCTTGATTCATCAGCTGCATCATGTTGCTCACAGACATGATGCTCACACTCCACAGGAGCGAGTGAGCGCTGAGGGCATCGGTCTATAGTGATGTCACAGGACCGAACGTGCGTGGTGTGTGTGTGCATGTATGCGTTACCTGGTCGAAGAGCTGTTTGCCTGTGGTGTTGGGCTGGATGGCAAACTCCAGCTCAGCGTCCATGGTGGTGACGCGCACATTAATCTGCAGGAAAGAAGAAAATAAAACTCAATGAGAAAATAATACCTTTACATTAAAATGTGTTTTTCTTCTTGGGTTTTCCAGAGAATTAAATTAATCTCTTGCCTTCTCTAGACTGGAAAACAAAATTAGTTATGATCATAGAAATTTAAGACTTGACTAGTTTGTGCAACAACAACAACAACAATCCCCAAAAGTCAAATACAGGCGCGTACTTATAAAGTATTCATAATGAATACAAATAAATACAAGTTTTACTGCCACTGGGAGATCAGCAGTGAGGTGCAGTCGAGTGCTGCTCCACTGCAAAAATAAGAAACCAGTCGAGAGGAAAGGGATTCTGGGAGTTATGACTTTCAGAACCAAAAATATTTGAAAACTTAATTTAAAGACTCAACACCTGCTTGAGTTTGAATTGAAACTTCAGAAAAATAAATGTGTTCTGTATTGTGAGAGTGATGAAATGTGTGTGTGTCTATTTTGTTGCAGCAGAGCTTGAAGAAACCAAAACCACACACACACACACACACACTGAGCATACAAATGTGTGAGTGTTTGTTTATTTTCTCCTTTAATTCCCATTGGAGGTGAAATACATTAGATGGTGCTGTGGTGGTCTGAGGTACGCAAACCCAGCTGCAGTGAAACCACCTCACACTGTCCTCAAGTAACCCTGACGGAAGGAGAGAGACTGAACTGAGGGAGATAAAGAGTGAGAGAGAGAGAGAGAGAGAGAGAGAGAGAGAGATAATGCCTGAGGTGAACACTGCAAGAATCAAAAAGACTCAGACACACAGGCAGCTCCACTGACCTGAAAAGTACACACAAAGACGATTTGCACGCATAAACACACACACACACACAGCATGTGGTCGTGCTCTCATCCTTTTCAGACATCTTACTTGTTTAAGACTATTTCTGATGTTCAATAACCATTTAACTTAATTAATTAATTGAGAAATCCCCTTCCTTTGGATTATTAAATAAATCCCTGCAGCAGGAGCACAACAAACATCCTGTTACTAAGTGAACCATGTCAGTGTGTGCAGAAGCGTCACCATGCGGTTCTTTAACATATACGCTCACACAATGTGACATCATTCCACTTTAACACATGCACACGCTCTGTGTCTCTTTTCTGTCCGGTCTGTCAGGTTTCCATGGCGACCAGTTGTGGCTGATTTTAATGTAATTTACTAAAAAGCCTCGGGGCGCCGTAAAGAGGGATTTACACTCTTGACAGGACGACATGGTGAGCGGATTGACCCCTGCTGAGGTGAGCTATAAGCTGGTCAACGCAGAGTAAACAGGAGTTAAACAATAAAACTGCAGTTAAATCAGTTGAATGTGTTCGTCAATGAATTCATCAGTTTTATAATATTTGAGTCACACATCAGAAAGTGGAGCAAAAGTGTCCAGCGAGGTTTAAACGGTTCTGTCTAGATCTAAAGTCCTTGTTCAGACCTGCAGGTCCCCCCCCCACCTATATGTGTGTGTGTGAGACAGAGATAGTGACAAGGCAGCGGCGTGGAGAAGCAAATCAATGTGGAATCAATCCAGATCACAATCTGGATCCACACCAAAATGTAATGGCTTCTTTCAGAAGCGTGCGTGTGTGTCACAGATTAACTGACTGTGTTTAAACCAGCGTCTTCCAGAGCCTCCATGTCGTTCATAACGAGTAGTGACGGCTACATAGTGGGTTCGTGTGCCCACGCTCACGGCCCCCCCTGTTGACTGAGTGTGTAAGAGACACTCAGACAGCCATGATTAAAAGCTGTTGGTATAAGCTGGTTAACGGAGGCTTTATAGGCAACCAGGGTAACAATTTCTTCTTTCCGTTTTCCCTCCTCATCCACTCAACATTTCCTCTCTTTCTTCACCTCCGTTCATTTTAGTGCCACTTCACTTTTCAGCTCCGCAACCACTCTTCCGCTTCCTCCGTCCTTACGTCTGAGGATGTCCTCTTTGTGCTTTGAGTGGATTTCTTTCTTCTTCTTTTTTTTTTTGAATGGCTGTTTGTATTCTCAAACTCAAAGTGCGGCATCAAGGAGGAATGAGTAGGTGGTCGAGGTTGTATCGGCCGAAACAAACCAATCCTGATGCGTTTCATTAATCATCAATGTAACTGGTTTAAAGAGTGAAGTTTAAAAATCCTCAAACTATATTTAACAAAGAATTTATCTTTTTATCTGCGAATGGAACAGACAATCATAATTTCAGACATCGTCAGGAAGGATTTCAGGAACACAACGTGCTGCAGCAAATCCTGAAAAAAGCAAATGTGTTTGGATTGGTTAAATCTGTGATAAACTTCTTGGGAATGATTCTCAGTCTTTGTTTTTTGGTAGGTGACAAGTTGGTGCTGCACATCCTTTGTTAGATTAGTTTGAAGTCAGAGGAGGTTAATCACGTTAATCACGTAACATAGTTCAATAGTTTTTATATCATGCTTTAAAATCCCTTGTTATCGGAGAACCTTTCCTGATTTTACCTGAATTTAAAATCTATTTTACTGAATTTAATTTTTACAAATTCATTTTACATAATGTTATGTCTGTTAGAGTTCTTTTAAATTAATATTGTTTCAATATTCGTGAACGCACAGCGCTCATACACGGTCAGCACAGCCTTCGAGTTCAGTATCTTCCAATATAAACGTCGGCATTCAGACAGTAGCATTATTTCCTTGACGTCTACATCACGAGTCTTTTGGCTGTTTTGTGCACGTCAGTAAATCTCTGTGTTATGAATCATGTGCTGCTCTAGTTGTTAATGTTTTATCCTGATGCTCTGGCAGAGCAGCTATTTTTAAAACATTCCAATGAAGCAGTGACTTTAATGCAGTTGAGGTTAGGAGAGGAGGTGGAGGGGGAGGGTGAACTTCACACCCTCCCTCTAATTAGTTTTAGTGACTTGGATAATTCCCATTATATAAATGAAAATGGCCCTCTGAAATATTTAAAGCCTCCCCCACTCCCCCTCGCCAGCCCCCTCGGCCCCCGGGGACGCCAACACCAGGACGGGCAACATGTGCAAAACGCAGCGATAAATCAATAATGTACGACGTCCCACCACATCTCGTACCCTGGATTAACGGATCTGATGCAGACACTGAACAAACACACACAACTGCTCAAATAACACTCTCCTTTAAAGCAGACGTGCAGCTCTGAGAGGCAGCACAGAATTCATATGTGTGCAACTTCCATTCTATCTTGTGCAAACACAGATCTATACTCATGCACATACATACTCACAGTGCCGACGGGGATTAACATACACTCAACAAAACATATCGGAAATCAATACGTCTTTTAAAGGATTCTGCAGCACCACTGAACCCCCTCAGGGTGAGAATGATTCTTCATGTTTGCTCTTTTTTATCCCTCGTCTCCTCTAAGAAGCTTTGTTTACACTTAGACGGGTCAGTCTGCTTGTTGTGTTAGTGAATGGAGTCTGAATCAGCGGCAGGGGCCACAGACTGAACTGTTCCTCATGACCCTGACCTCATGTCAAGGAAAGTCGGACATATTTTCTATGTCTCCTAAAAATACAAGCTTTTTAATATTTAATATTTCATTTCCATTTCAGATTCAAGGGTGTTGCTCTGAACCTGAGCTCTATGTGGAGAACAAGTTTTCCTACAGCTGCTGTGTAAAGCTGCAGGGAAACCAGGAGTTATATTTATTAAATAGACAACAAGGCTCTTCTGTGGAACTGCAGTGGGCAATAAACTTTCCTTGGAGGCTGAGGTCTGACAACGTCTTTACAAAGTAAAATGAAATAGAAGAAGAGAGAAAACAAGGTTCTTTAAAAATAACAACTGCGGCTCAAAGACTAATGGAGATATTTAAATAAAACGCTGGCTTCAATACCATAAACCTCGGATGACTCCTTATATCCAAACATATATTGACACCACAAACTTGCTGAATTACACGGACGTCATTTGGATTTTAAACGGTAATAAAAGTCGTAATATTACGTTAAAGAGACAGAAAATTCCGTCGCTGAAAGTTCGGATAGCTCCGTGAGTCCAATGCATTTATTAACGATACCCGTAAGGTGAAATATGAGGTTTGTCAAGAATTCCCTTTCTCTACAGCCACTGACACAGAGCCCCCTCTGTGGGCTACAACCCCCATTTTGAACAACATGAAAAAGACGTGTGTACCAGGGGAAACCCATGTTGTGTCCAGGGTGTAAGTAGAACACAGACACACCATTAAAACACAGCCTCTGGGAGGGTTAGGGTCCAGACTACCTTCACTTTTTAATGGCCTGCCTGAGGCTAACGAGCTTATCGTCTGTCTCTCCTTTTAGGGAGACAACAAAACAGACTCTTATGGTTTACCTGCTCTTTCTGTTTTCCATCTCTGCGTTTTGTTTCCTGTGGTTCTAATGGACTCGTCGCAGCTCATGTGTTCAATGGAATGAAGCGCGCCTGCAGGGGCCACTCAGATTTAACTCTTTATCCAACGTGACATTTTAGCATTTTCATCGGTAGAAATCACACCAGAGGACGCACAGGAGCAGTGAAAGGGCTGATGTGTTTATTGTCCGAACGCGAGGCCTGGTGTTAATGTGCAGCCTCCAGTAACCGGAGTGGGAGTTCCCCTCGAGGGCGGCTCGGGTGTCGTTTTTCTGGGCTTGATATGAACAAAGTACCCGTCACTCAGTCCTCTGCCAAATCCTCTGTTATGTGCCTTTTTGTTCCCGTCAGTGTGTTTCAATAATCTGAGCTTTTACTTCGTCCTCACTTGAATTTTCTCTCCATCTGTCCGTCCCCACGACTGTGTCTCTTATCTCCTTCATCTGTTTCTCTGTGATTCAATTTATTGACTTCTTAGTGTGGTGCTTATCAGAGACCACACAGTTAAATCACTTCCTAAATCTAGACCTCAAACGCATTGCACTCTGTTTGAGAAAGCTGATTTCGGAGCTGGAGGCCCTCTGGTCTCCATTCTCTAGTTTGACCAATCACATCTGAGCAGGCTTTGGTTGCCCTCGGGTACTTGTCCTTGTGGAGAAATACGTGGAATAAATTAAACCGAAATGCGTCAGTTATTGGCTTTTGAATCCATCTGCATTCTGCATTCATAAGAAGATCGGTGTGAACAGAGATAAGTAAAAATGTCGCCCGGAGCTAAAACACGGTTTGAAACTACTCGGATCAGTGTCAGGTGAACGAAGGACAAAGTCCTGGGCACGATTTCCACATTGTGCCCCTGACGTCCCCAGTCCACTGCCCCTCAGACGTTATTTCATTGTCACATAACGGCTGATGGGCTGAATGATTTTTCACGTTTTAACTTTTCCTGATTGCATGAACACAAACTCCAAATGTACTGAACTTTTTTTAAAAGCTCTCTCTTCCTCTGCTCCTCCTTTTTTTTCCTTTATGATAAGCGGCTCCATCTTTCCAATTCATTTCTCATCCTCTTTCCTTCTCCATTACACTTTCTCTCTCTCTTGCTCTCTTCACTTCCGATCCTTTCACTAGTTTTTTTTTTTTCCTATCACCCTGGTCTCTTTCCAGGAATTGGGCCTGGCCTAATTCCCCATTACTGAGATTGATGGAGCAGGGGCTCAGTGGAAGTGCCGGCTGGGTGTAGATAGATGTGGAGGCAGCCAGCACGTACAGACAGCAGGACTGTAAACACCTGCAACCACACACGCCTCCTCGTTTTCACTGACCTCTGTCAGCTTTTTTTAGTTAATGTAAGTGTGGGTTTTTCTATCAGATAATATATATATATATAAAGTATTTAAAGTTGTTTAAAACAAACATTTTATCACATTAAAGGAGTTTTTATTTCTTCAAGTGTGTCACATAAGTTTATTTTTCATGTAAAATGCAAAATTTTCAAGCAATAACTCTGATAACGTCATTAAATACTTAAATGGAATTAGTTTTGTCTGTGTCAGTCAGTCTTTAATTTCATTAAGTCCGTGTTTGTACACAACTTCGAAAAACAGCACTTTAAAACAACACAGTGGTTTCATATTGTGTCGAGATGATAATATTATAAAAAGGTACGATAAGGTCCATAAAATGATAATCCTGTTATTTAAAATGCAGTGCAACCTCAGCCTGTGTGTGTGTGTGTGTGTCAGAGCAACATGAAAGCTCCCAGTGTCCCTTAGTCCAAAAATAGAGCAGAGAAAGACCTCTTTGTGTTTGCTCTCTTCAATCGACACGACGGTTCCACAAAGTGACCGACTGTTGTGTGTCTGTGTGACTGTGTGTGTGTGTGTGTGTGTGTGTGTGTGTCCGTGCGCCCCTGTGACAGATCACTTCTGACTGGGCGGGCTGATGTAAAGACTCCGAGCTGGGAGGTATGAGGGGCCGCACTTCAGGAATAAAGACCAATGGTTTATTTCTACTTCTCTGCTTCTCGTCAGTGCCTGAAACCCTGAGACATCATCCCCCTTCATTTTTTATTTCATAAATATCAGTCCTCTAAACATGTTTCATCAAATTTGAATTATTTCCTTCACTTTAATGTTCCTCCCGTCCTCCCATAAAGTTTTGTGGAAATCTGTGTAGTAGTTTTTGCATAATCCTGCTGACAAACAAACCAACCAACTAAAACAGACAGGGGTGAGAACATTACATCCTTGATGCTGAGTTCACGTTTTAAAGCAAAATCTAAATTCACTTTACATTTCCGTCTCTTTCTCCCTTTTGGCTTCTTTGCTTTTGATTTTGGAAATTGGAAAGACAATGAGTTTTTAGTTGATAAGGGAAAATGCCACATGTGAGTTCTGCAGCAAATTCACACGTCATGTCTGCCTCCTGCTGCTCGGTTCATACGAGAGAGGCGAAGTCTGGATAACGCTCGGACACAGTTGTTCAGACATTATCAAGAGTTAATGTTTGAAAACGCCTTAACTGCAGTATCAGTGTCTTATAATCACCAATAGTGTAGATGCTGCAGTCTAGTAAATACACAGAAGTGTGTAAGTCAGCTTTAATCACAGAGTTATTTATTTTCTCATTGGGTTTGCAAAAGGCACGTCTCAAATCCCAGGAGCCACACATGCTACAGATCAACAAAACAAGCGCTCCATAACTGTGAAACTTTACAGAAACAACTCCCTCGAGTTCTGAAATCTGATACTGAGGAATACAGCAGACAGGTGAGCGGTAGTGTGAGGATGGTGCTGGAGAATCCACCAGTGTGTTAGAAACTCACCGGTTTAGGCATCTTCCTCCTCTCTCCAGCTGTTCCCTGATTCTGAGAAACCGCAAAGAAGTTGTCCTCCGTCTTTCTGCCTCCCTACGGGGGACCAGCGCCTGAGACACAACAAACAGACACAAATGCACCAATGTCAACAAACAAACATCAGCGGGCACGTCACTACACGCTGAGCAAAGATGAGAAATGTTGAGTGCAGAAGAGAGGAGACAGAAAACAGGGGAGCAAATGATTTAGATGATCTCTCTGAGGTGACCTTTGACTCCCTCATCACTTTAACTCCTCTATGTTTCCTTCTCTGTCAGAATCAAACTCACAGGCAGAGGAAAGGGATTTCTAAATATTTGAAATACATTAAATACTCAAACTGCACATTTTATAATCACATCACAGAGAATTATGAAAACGCTTTGAAAACAGTGGCCTAATTCAGTTCTGATTCTCTCTCTCTCACATCAATCTCTTCAAATTCCCTTTGAAGTTCCACATAACTGAGGAACAAGCCCTGCAAATCAATGCACAGCTTAGTGAGCCCCCCCCCCATCGATGTTCTTTAGGGGTCAAACCCTCAAAGTATACGAGGAATACGAGTCTTTGATTGCACCAGCAATCAGAGCTGCCCTCAATCTAAAAAGGCACAAAGCTTCACTGACCCAGGATTGTCATTTAGAAGTTCTCCACACTTCCATTTACGAGAGAAGTAGTTCAAGTACGAGGACGGCTGTTACCATGGTAACTATGGTTAAGAGGCAACTCTGTGATGCGGTGACAGTAGCTGCGTCCTGATTCAGGGGCCGCACCCTTTCGCGGGCTACTGACGGCGTCGGTCCAGTTTCAAAGATTATGAGAAATGCATCCTTCTGTTCACAAGCAAGGAAGGAAGGAAGGATCCTTCTCGAACCTACTTATCCCAGGATTCATTCCACGCCAGCGATGGAGCTAATGAGCTAGTAAGTGAGGGCGGGACAAGCTGGAGAGGGAAACAGGAAATGCTCCGTCTCACTAATGAAACTGGAACGATTCGATTGTCTCAGCGGATCATTTGTCAGGTCCGACCATAAAATGATAATAATGGTGATGAAATTTTCATCTGTAGCGACATAAAAAAATCTTTATACATCGATATAAAGATTAGGAATCCTGCAAGCACTTTTAACAACTCTTCCACTCTGACATTTATCGTGATAATTATTTAGACCAATACGTTTTGGTCATATCAGCCAGCCCTGTTTATTTGTCACAGAGACACAGTTTCAGAAAGTAGAACCTTTACTCTCTCAATTAAAAGGGTGCACAATCTAAAAGCAGCTGAAAACTGTGCAGCCTGCAGTGAGTTTCCTCCAGCTCTAAATCTCCACTTCTTGAGCTGCATCTTTCCATTTCTCCTTAACAATGGAGAGAGACGGTGAGAGGGTGCGGAGCAGAGCAGAGGATTAATGGAAGGAAACGTGAGCAGGAGTCCGAGCACATAAGAATTCACAGGGTGCCTTGACCCATATTCCTGCAGCCGGGAGATAGGAGAAGACAGAGAATACTAAAACTATGAGCTGGCTTAAAACATTTCCACTGATTTCTTTCATTAACTGGAGAGAAGAAAGTCAGATGGAGGATCCTGCTTTGTATCAGAAGAATCTATGGAGCATAATTTGTCCATGCAACACATTAATAAGTCACAATATTCACTTAATAATTATCTTATATCGTTGACAAAATGTCTGTGTGCACATGGGTGTGTGTGTATGTGTACAAAATAACTCCACAATGCATGGGCAGATTTCCACAAAAAACAAATATTTCTTGGGAGTTTATCTCAAGATGATTAACTTTTGGAGATGATCACTCAAAAGGTCAAAGTCAAATATGGCTGCAGAGACAATAAAACGCTTGAATTGAGCAGAAAACGATTCCTCATCATGTGATATCATGTGGTTAATGACATCATGAAGAAGTCAGACAATTACAACCAAAATGCGTCCTCCGAGGTGTCACTGCGTTCTGTGGGACTCAAACGAGCGGGTGCATTGTCTCTCCAATGTTGTCTCTATTTATTTTTTATCTGTGATGGTTATTCGGTCAATGGCACGAACCAATAACATCAGCTTAGTTCTCCGAAGGTGCACGATGAAAGTGATTATACAACCTGCAAAATGTAATAGATTTTAGTGCTTCAGGCTTTAAGACACACACACACACACACACACACACACACACACACCCCTAAAGAACACAGGTCTGCTCTGTTAAGCAGCACACTACCTTGTAAATGTGGATGTATAAGCCCTCTGGGTTTGTGTGTGTATATGTGTGTGTGTGTGTGTGTGTGTGTGTGTGTGTGTGTGTGTGTGTGTGTGTGTGTGTGTGTGTCTTCCCTGAAACTAGAGGGCCACTTCTGTCACAGCTTCCAGGTCACTGCTCATAGAGAGAGCAAGACAAATATCAAAAGCTCAAACCACTTGAATTTTCAGCAGGTTTCGATCATGTAAATCAATAATGTTCAAAACAATAACAATGTTTTTTTATGACTCTGGTGGAAACTGAATATAATATCGTCCATTTTATCAAATAAATGCTGAACACTGGCTCTTTGTCTTTCCTGTATTTGGCTGTTTTGACTCTGGTTAACATGCGTCAGGATGAAATTTATGACAAAAAACAAATTGCTTCTTTTCTTGTGATGTAATTTCTAAGACATTATTCTGAGATATTATTTATTTTAAGATCATGGTTTGTTCAAAATAGGAATATTTGATTGTATTACATGTGTATTTGCAGAGTCGACAACATCTAATACTTAAAGTGCAACAGAGGACACACACACACACTCACACAGCTGTTACAACAGCAGGAAACTGTACCAACTGCTCCTGACAACAAGGCTTTCCTTGTACAACACAAGCGTCGAGTGCTTCGTCCTCGAGTGTTTGTGGAACAGCACAAATGGTCGGTGCAGAGTGAGACCCGCGAAACCACGAACAAACACGCGGCAAACTGACAGTGAAACTTCAAGGAGCGTTACAGAGGTTCTGCACAAACAGTCCAGTGAATCCTGGGTTCTCACGACATTCGTTGAGCTTTTTAAATCCTCCAGAGGCTCGTTGGTTTTAAGCACTGCTACAAACACTGACGCATTATTTTTCTTATTCGAAATTCAAACATTAATTTGAATATAGTGTGAAAGTTCAAAATTCAAACTATAATGACAGACAATTTTAAAAACATGGCTAGAAGCTCATCGGAAGTACATCACCTCATGATCCAGCAGAGGGCGCTCACTGTCAGCTTGACCTTTTGCGTGCCCTCTTGACTTATCCGTTAAGTAAGGGAACGATCACACTTACGTCAACGGCAAGTTAATATTGCAGGTCAAAGTTCAACACAGTTCAACTCCATGTCCAGAAACGTGTGAATCTACCTAAACCGTTTATTCGCCTCCTAAGCGAAGGTTAGGAGAGCCAGTAATGTTGCATAGTTTTGTTACGTAAATCCAGAGTGGACAGATGTGTCATTTAAAATTCTTTCAAACTTAATTTCAATGAATAAATTCAACACCCCTAAAGATTCTGCTGGAAAACTTTTAAAACCAACTGTTGGCTTTTGAATTAGCCATGTACGTTGGTTGGTTGTTTAATCTACATTACGAAAGGGGGGGAAGGTAAATCTTGTAATGTCAAAGAAAGTAATAAACAAAAATGTATTTGTGCATCAGATGGGATCTTTCTTGGTCAATGTCACATCCTTCTATTAAGTTTTTGTGGAAATCTGTTGAGTAGTTTTTGTTTAATACTGCTCATGTACAAATACACATCCTGGTGGAGGTAATGACAGAAGACCACAGACTCTCTGACCTGAGGGAAACATAAGATTAATATAAGATAATAATTATTTACTATCTTCTGATGAGTCCAACAACCACAAGATAGTTTACTTAACATTACTGATAGGATCAATATTGACTCTAATTAATATTCACTTGGCAGAACAGATGACGGCAAAACAGGTTTGAACAGCTGCTAAAGTCATGATCACTCCCGTCTGCTGCTGCATGGAGCTGCTGACACTCATCCAGGTCGACTTCAGTGGCCTGACTCAGTGTTTGACACCACAGGACCGCTCTGGACATGGAGGTGTCTCACAGAGCGACACGGGAACGACGGGGGTGCAGAAAAAGAAAGTGACAGAAATGAAGCAGAGAGAGACATGACGGTGAGATGAGAGACGGAAAGAGAAACTGGATAGTGTCTGTCAGCGGACCTGGCTATGATGTGGGTTGTGAAACCAAAGCATTTGCTCTCAGGCACCAACTGATGTCAACCACCGACTCTGTGCAGTTTGAAAACACAGCTCTGGAATACTTTGATACTAATTGTTTGTTAAAAAGTAGATTTAATTCCCTCTACACAGCAACTTCCTGGTTCAACTTTGACCCACTGTACTTCTTATTGATGCATGCATGCACTTTTACAATACAGTGCATAAGTATAGAGGATATTTCCAGCTTGTTCACTTTTGTTTTATCGTTTTTAATTTTGGGTTCAACAGGACTGAGCGTGTAAACAACAGCTGATAGAGCAAACAAAAACTAAAATGCAAAACTGAAATATTCACTATGTTATTCACTCAACATTAAAAGCATAAAAATGTAAAGTGGCCCATGACAGAAACTCAGAGAGACAAAAGCACGAAGACAGATGTCCTCCAACAAGCTCAATGAGCCAAACTGATTCAGCCATTCAGCCTGAGGAGCTGCAGAGCCAACACCATGACACCGTAGACCAGCCTGAGACGCTCTCACATCGGCAGCTGCTCTGTGAAGAATGAGTCTGGATTCAACCAGATTCATGAGCTGAATTTAATGCGTCTGTTCATTTGTAGAAAACTGGCTTCAACGTGTTTCTGCATTGTCCCCGAGCTCTTTGGTACAGACACTGATTTGGGTGATGCATCTTTAGAAACACTCCCATGGTTCTGAGAGTCCAACAACCTTTCTTCCAAAACTAGAATGGCCACTTGGAGAGTGCACACGTTAAGCCGCGACAAATTGCTCTCACTTCTAAATATCAGCGCCCTAAATATTCTTTTCAGCAAGATTCATGGGAAACCTAAAAACAATGCTGGAGACAAGGGAAGAAGAGTTCAAATGTTCGATCCCAGTCTTCCCTATAGTCCCAAGTGTCAAGATACTGAACCCCAAATTGCTCCTTCTCATTGAGAAAGTTCTGCACGTACATGCTTGTGTTATGTACACATGCATCTATAGTGACATGTATTCTTTAAGTGACCCTGACCTCTGACCTCCAAAGGAAAGCAACATGCCACGCGAACAGTGAAGTGATGGTGATAATACAGATCGTTTAAACTTTATAAAGATAGGAAGAAAAAAAAATATGGTTCATGTTACAAGACACTATGTTACTTTAATCTTTAGTCACCAACTTATATTAAGATTTTCATTTGTTATTCATAATCCATATGTAATAATTCAAAAAGATGACATTTAACTGTGTTTCAAAAATGTCCCTGAACTCAGAGACAACACACATGAAGACAGATATTGTGAGGACAACAGCAGCCTGACTCTGAGCAGAACAGAGAGAAATCTAAAACCAGCTACAGGTGGACTATCTCATGACATGACGCGGAGCCTCTTTCTCAAATGAGCTGTAATTTGGTCCCCGGAAAGAAGGCGGGGCCAAGAGCCAACAGGAGGGGGATTTGATCGACAGGGCTAATGACCAATCATCTCCCTCCGCTGGCTGTTAACGAGGCCAATCAACAAGCCTCGTTAAGTTGCCGGCGACGCAGCAGACGGAGCACCTGTCTGCGCCAGATGGAGCGTCACGTGAGGTGCCTCGATTCACGACCGATGTTTACGCGCAAAACGTAGAATAGCTCTCACGACGAACGCGCGCAATCACCGCGGCGACTCAAACCGCGGTGGAGTGGAGACGCGCAAGAAATAGCGGGATTTTACATTCTAGAAGCCACCTACGCCACGAGAGGAGCGTTCCAACCCGCGTCGATGCATCGACATGACGACAGCAGCTGTTTGGATGGTCCGGAGAGTTGCGGCACGAGGAGCGATGTTTCCGCGTGAAAACAAAACACGCAACAGCCGCTGAAGCCGCTCCAACATCCAGAAGCCGGTTGCGCGTAATTGCGCAAATATGTAAACAGACTCCTGAGCACCGGACACCGACGGGAAACGGACACGCAGCTAATTACCTCGACTGCCACTGTGTCCGTTGCGTAATTATTTGAAGTGACTCCGCTTTACTCACCCCGTCCTCCCGCCCGGTAACGTGCACGACCTCCGCCGGTTAAGAGGCTGAATTGTCTGGTCCGAGCACGCGGCTAACCTGTCGGAGAGGTGATCCGTATTCTCCAAGTTGTACGCGTGCAAAGCGTTTTTCCGTTAAAGGCACAACCAGCCCCGGAGAGGAGACTAACCCCCTCGCGCGCACACACACACACACACACACTCCCCTCCCCACCGGGTTTGAAAGGGATTAACGGGAGTCAGGCGGAGACGAAGCCGATCAAACTCACCTCTGACGCCCGGTGGCTGAGGATGTGTCCAACTGTCACCCCCCTCCTCCAGCTGGCTGCGAGTCTTTATATAGATCCACCGCGCGTAAAAATAGAGCGGTTCACCTTCCCGTCCTCCTCTGCGCTGTTTACCGGACACGGTGCGCACCGAGGGCTGACGCGGTGATACCGTGATACTGGCTGCGGGAGACTCCTCCGCCAGGCTCCCACGGCCGGAGGTGCACGCACAGTCAATATGGCTGACGAACTCACCGAGGCGTGGTGAGTCCTGCAGATTCACCCCCTCCCTCACCCTCTCCCTCACCCTGACACTCCGCAGAGCTGCGGGGTGTGTGAACCAGGACTCCCAAACTTTACCACAGGACACTCACATACCCTTCTGGTCACACATGATTATATAGAGTATAGTTATAAAAGGATATGGAGCGTTCACTTTGCCTCACACGTTTATGTGTTGGAGTGTAAATTAAATATCCAGTTTGGTTTTGCAGCATTTGAAGATGCATGAAAACTTAATTCCATCTTGTTGCTCAGTCCACATGTAAAACTGAAACATGTATTCTTCCTCCAAGGCCCAACAGTCCCCTTAAGTCCGACCAGCATCACACACACAAACATATCATCCCCATCAATATGCCTGGTTCTGTTCATCAAGTTCATGAATTATTGGTGGAATCAAATGTTACAGAAAGAAAAAAATCGACTTTGTCCAAATCTGCACCAAAGTTTAATGAATTCTTTCTCGGCCCATGTCACCTCATTCCACCAAGTTTAGAAGAAATCCGTCAGAGGTTTTTGAGTAACACAACCAAAACATCCACAAGAGTCTGTTAGCAGATATATATTCAACATTATAACAGAGATAAAAGCACCAGGTTCCTTAAAATATTGTTTTTATCTTAATTCATATACAGAGTGAGGAGTCAGTATCACATTCTATATTATTATCTAAAAGGCATAGAAACCAAAACTACATCTCAGTGTGCTACTTACTACGGAGCACCACAGATGTCAGATCATGTTTCATTCTTTTTTATTCCTTCTTCATTTTGCTCACACAACATTTAGGAGAATCCCATGTTCGTCCAGAGTGTGTGTGTGTGTGTGTGTGTGTGTGTGTGTGTGTGTGTGTGTGTGTGTGTTTGGAGCTGCGTTCAATTCCAACATGTTCTCCACAGAAAGAGGAGTCGGTTGAAAATAGAGGCCAGATTATAATTACGGATCTCCTGGGAGGCTGATTCATCATTTTGTAACCTATTTAAACATCATGTGAAACCATGCGAGGAAAATGAAAATGTGAGATAGAAACCGCAGATGATTGTAAATGTCCTTTTTGTTATTCTACATCATGCTCCGTTATGCAGATGCAGTAAATCACTCAGCTTCATGTTTTTCACATTCCTTCCAACTTTTGCTTCCTCTCCTCTTCCTCTCCTCCTAAAGGCCGCGTCCTTTCCCTTTGCCTCCCCAGAGTGTTTTCAGTCAGCGGTTTAATGAAGTGATGTGGAACGTTAAACTGGTTTAATGTAACCTCTCGGGTGCACCGCGGTGGCACAGCAGGTACTTATTCTGTTCCAAAAACAAAGAGGAACATGAATCTTTTCTGCCCTTTTTTTTTTATTTACACACATTTATCCAAAGATTCATGAGTCCAGTTAATAAAACCCAGTGTATTTATTTTTGCTCTGTTTCAAACTTGGTCCATATCAGTGTGAAAATAAAACCAAATACAGAACAAACATGACACTTGACACGTCCACAGGGATTCAAACAGACTTATGATCACACTGAGGAGTGGAGACGTTACTCTGCAAACATGTGGTTTGCACTTGTCCATCTTGTTTCAGCAACAGTCTGAATGCATCGTCGTTTTTATCGTGTTGCATTATTGTATTGTTTTGATATCATCTGAATGAAATGTATGGTTTTTTTTACGAATCACAAATGCGGGATCTGTGTCTCGCATGCAAATACATCTGTGTTATTTAGTTCTTTTCTTTGCAAAATTTAAATCTGTTCATTTGTTTTGTCACATTTCCTTTTACAGTTTTATTCAACGCTGCACTGATGATCTCAGTTGGATGATTAAAGTGAGTTCGGCATTTGATTTTAAGAACCTGTGAAAGTTGTAATGTTTCAGTGGTGCAGGTTAGTTTCAACATATTTTTGTTATATTAAGAAACACTGACACCATGTGGCTGATGACTGTAAATCACCAGTTTGTTCATCGGTCTCCAGGGCAACATGAGATACAAGAGCACTGCAGTGACGGTTCTTTTCTCAACCACGATGATGTTGGAAGATTTTATTGTCTCCGCAGCTGCAGATGAAATAAAGAAGATGCTGGTTTCTGGTTCCAAACCTGTTTTCACCTCTGACACCTTCAGCATCATCTTTTTTACATGTCAATAATCCCAGTTCTGAGTGTGTGTGTGAGTGTGTGTGTCCAGCACAGTGGAAACTATTAAACTACCTGTTCCCTGTTTAGAGCTGTGGTGTAGCGATGAAATGTCAAAGTCAGGGAAGAATTAACACGTGACGCAACTGGAGCCAGAGATGTTTGTGTAAATGTGTGTGCTCTGTGTTCAGGCAGTATATTCACCAGGTCTTTAGTGAACTGTCTTTGTCAGCGACTGCTCGTGATAGAGGTGCATTCTTTAAGTGACCCTGACCTCTGACCTCCAAAGGAAAGCAACATGCCACGTGAACAGAAAAGAAAAGAAGAAAGCTCTCTCTCTATCTTTTCAATCATTGGACACAAGTCATATGAATAAAAACTACAACCATTCAACCACTAGAGGGTGTGTTTTTGCAGTTTTCTTTCCCCCTTACCTGAAATTCAAGACATTCTTTGACCTCACGTGTCATTTTTTTTAAACCATCAAACTGGTTTTAAATTAAAACACATTTTTTCTCTCATTATCCACAACTGAAAAAAAATGTTTTAAACTTTAGCCTCAGATCTGCTAACAAATACTATGCATTTTCTTTAAACAGCCGATTTTCCACTCATTCAGTGAGTCAAAATCTTGATTTCAATCCTTTTAAAAACCTGGAGGACGCTCACATCCACAGTTGACACAACACTGCACATATGTTCTTATGATGACATGTATGTGTTTGAAATCAAATCTTTGATGTGTCCTGTTTCATTAGTGAGCTTCAGGAGAAGGTTGCTGCACAACGACCTTCAAACACAAGCTCAGGCTAATCTTCACATGTGATCATTATTGTTACTGCAGGTTTTATTTCCTGGCAGGAAATTGTGTTTTGTGTTTTGATGAAAGCAGAAGAGCTTTCACTGATAATTTAGTCAATTGACAGATTATTTTTAACTTAATTTGAAGGGTTTTTTTTAGCTGCTGGTCAAAATAAACAAGTTATTTAAAGATGTCAGTCAATGCTCTTGATGGACAG